GACTGGAGCTGAGAAATGAAATATAAGAGTCTAGAAAGAGAAGAGCAACTTTATGGGCTTTCTCTCCTTCTCCCCATTTCCTGCTCCAACACTCCCCTAAAATCATAATATCTGAATATTAGATTGCCTAGAGTTACCTTGAAAGACAATTTTTACTTGAAGTAAAAATGTGCTGCCTATGATTGATTGGGCTTAGCATTAGACAGGCCCTTGTACTTCATTTATTATGTCTTTAGTCAACATCACAATGGTGGAAAGATAGATAGATAGATAGATATAGATGGTGGTTTGATAGATGAATGAATGGATAGTGATTGATGCATAGATAGATGGTGGATAGATATAGATAGATGACAGATGTATTGATAGATAGATAAATTGATAGATAGATATTTAGATCCTTTGGATGGACAGATAGTCCCTTCTTTCAAGGATCTTACATTCTAATAGAGGAGAGGACAGGAGCTAAAAAGCAGGGAAGGTCAGGATGCCTAATGAACACAGAGTCCCAGAAGCTGAGTTCTAATCCTAGCTTTGTCATCTACCACCTGTGTGACATTGGGCAAGACACTTCACCCCAATGGGTCTCAGGTTCTTCATCTGTAAAACAAAGGGATTGTACTAAATCCCCTTCCAGCTCTAGAGCTATGCTTTTATGACCTTTGTCTCTTTTCAAGAGCTGCTAGCTGGGCTTTGTTGTGTCCATCCATCCCTATATGTGTACATTTCCTACAGTATATGTAATATGCCAGTGACCCCTGTGTCAGCTATCTGTTTGCCTTGGCCATAGACCCCTTATGGAGACTCAGTCCCAATATCTAAAAAAGAGGATAATCCCTGTACCCACCTCAGAGTGTTGGTGAGAAGTTCAAATGAGATTATGTATATTAAGTACTTCGAAAACTTTAAAGCAAAATATGAATCTCAGCTACTACCTGTTGTCGATAATAAGAAATAATGTCATTTACCCCCCTAACCTAAACAGAAAATACTGGGGTGGTTTTTTTTTCTTCCTCCCCCCTTCTATCTTCTTGTTGAGGCCAAATGCATTCAGTGACCATTCCATATGCTATTCAATTGAGGCTGCCCAAAGTCTCATATTTTACACCTTGCTCCATTTTCAGCTCATATAAAGGTTGTTTGAGGTTGGTCATACATTGCTGATGACTACTATTAGCTAACCTAGCAGAGCAGTGGGCAGGAATTCTAAAGCCTCCTTAGCATGATAAATATGACACTTTACCAGCTCTGACTTCATTTAAAATAATGGAAAATGGCTATTCTGCTTTCTTCCCCTTTCTCCTTTCTACTCTTTCACACTTAGTCCTTTAACCTTTTAAATTTACTGCTGCTTAATATATGTACCTGAGGTTTGGAATCCCAAATGGGGAGGCAATATATCACAGCTAGTGTTAAAGTTATTGCATTCTGGTTTCCAAGTCTAGTTAACTCCAAGATAAACACACCCTTCCCACCATGCACTTAACTTCCAAAAACACACTGGTGGATAAAGTGCTTCATGTAAGGTAATAATGCCAGCAGTGCAGTGAAACTTCCAAAGGGTATCAATTACCTCATGTTCAGAAAAAAGTATATGAGGAAAAGTGTCAAGTCAGCAAGTATTTATTATGTACTCCTACTGAGGGCCAGGCACTGTGCTAAGTTCTGGGCATACAAAGAAAGGCAAAAACAGTCCCTGTTGTCAAATAGCTCACAGCCTAATAGGGGGAGTCAACATGTAAACAATTATGTACAAACAAGATGGATGCAGGAGAAACTGTACACAGTCTCAAAGAGAAGACATTAGCCCTAAGGAGGACTAAGGAAGGCTTCTCATAGAAGCTAGGATATTAGCTGAGGCTTCAAGAAAGCCAAGAGGGAAAAATGAGAGGAAGAGCATCATAAATGAAAATTCCCCAAAATCCAGTCATTTAAATTTCTCATCTTGGAGTGAATAAAAACAAACTGCAGTAGTCTTTGAGGATACTATTTTTTTTTAACGTTGTGGGACTGGAAAAGGGTAGCTCTATATCTGTGTTCAGTAGTTTCTAAGGTCCTTCTCTAAGAACACATTTAAGTGATCCTATTTATAACTAGCCCTGTGGACTAAGTGAAGTAATGGACATGAAAAGCCTTTGAAAAGTACAAAGTGCTGTATCTAAGATATTCTTCAATATTTAAAAAAGATCTATGATTTCATCAGCACTGTTACTCCCTTCACATCTTAGCAGACTATCTTCCTAAGTTGTCATGGACTCCAAATTCACTTAAGTTAGCTGAACCTTTCCATAATGACAGACACAAAAGTTTATGCCAGGATGGTTACTGAAAGCTTTAACTGATAGGAACTACAGCTTGTATTCTGGGGGGCAGAGACTTTGAGAATTCAGGGTCATGGTCATGCCATGATGAAGCTTTGAAATAGGTCATTACAGAAAGTGTATTCAGAGAGTACACCATTGGGCTGCTAGTGGAAAGTAGGACCAAGTTAACCAACTTCACAACATAGAAATGGGTTGGTGAAGGGAAATAGCACAAGCTCACCAGTTTCATCTACCAGCCCCTTTCAAGTTTTGCTCCTGAGGTGATTTACACAGACCTGGTACATGCTGGGCAACTAGGTAGTACAGCGGATACAGCGCCTGGCTTGGAGTCAGGAAGACCTGAGTTCAAATTTGGCCTCAGACATTTACTAGTAATGTGACGATGAGCACTGTTTGCCTCAGTTTCCTCATCTGTAAAATGAGCTGGATAAGGAAATGGCTAACCACTCCAGTATCTTTTCCAAGAAAACCCCAAATGGGATCACCAAGAGTTGGACACGACTGAAAAAACAATGGGGACTAAAAGGAATCTCCCATTCACACACCCAGTTCTACCCAGCTCCTTTGCCGTTTTTGTTAAGCAGAACTCCTAGAATGATTTGTAAAGATCCCAGGTATCCTGGGGTTTGATAGGAATTCAAAGGAATTTTCTCACCACAACTCAAATAAATAGTTTAAACTGAAGCTGTACAAATGGCGGTTGGGGAGTTCGGTTCAAAAGCCTAAAGGCTTTCTCTAGCTAGCTGCATAGGGGTAACTGGCTAGAATGGAAAATTATAGAAGAGCTGGATAGTCCCTGGAGCTAGGATCTGTAAGAGCTGGTGGGGGCAGAGACAGCACAGCAGTTGAAGACCAGTGGAGACCAGCGCTCAGCAGAGATAAGAGCAAAGAGAAGCGGAGAACAGGTCTGTGACTTCACCACTGGAAGCCTGATGACCAGAGGGAGAAAGCACAAGTATTTGGAAGAACAAGAGGGTTCTAACAAGGATGTTACCTTAGACATGAGTTGCCTTGGCTACAAATTTTCCCTTTAGATATGCATGTTCCCAGGCCGTGCATGTTCCTAGTGTGAAGCCCTTTCCCCCGGATGATGTGTTAACCTATGTGAGAATGTATCCCTGTTTGCAGGGGGGAGAATCTTTTATTGTCCCACGTTTGATTAAAAGAAACTCATTGATGGGAACTTGTAAGCTATATGGTTTTAAGTGGATTTTGATCCAAAAGAGCCTTGAGCCTAGGGTCACTTTCAGAGGATCTCATTTTATGATTGCTGTTGGTTAAGATCATGGTGATAAAGAGGACAGGGTCACAGGTACAATCTCATGAACAGAAAAATTAAATTTGTAAAGAAAAAAAAAACACTGTTCCTTGCCTAGAGATTGTACTTTAAAACTCCAGGCACATACATAAGGGACCTGGGTGAAAAAATTGTGAATGGCTCAGCTACCAAAACAATAAAGTAGGATTGTATTGGCAAGCAGCTTCATCTCCAGAGATGAAGGAAAAGTCTCCCTGTGGAATAATACTGGCTTTTAAACAGGAATCCAATACAGGGGCACTCGTCACCTCAAATCTGTTGAAATGAAGACACATTCAAGCAGAGATAAAATAAAAGATATCACCATTCAAAATGTCTAAAATCATGCTTCACTCAAATACTAAGCTCCTAATGATGAAAGTGATGCTATCTCTCTGCAGAGAACAGCTCTGGAAAAACTTTAAATAATTCTCTCCTTGTATGCCCTCCTGTAGCTGCCTGGGCTTGTTTACAAAGAAACAAGGCCTTTACTTGCTGTAAAGGAAGTCAAATCAAACCTCCCAGACTGAACTGTGTGGTTTAATAATAATAATAATAATAATGTCATCAATGCCTCAGTTTATCAAAGGTTTTACAGGTTGGTTCCTGATTTCTAATTTTTAAAGTTTCTACCTCCTAACTTGTTAGGATACTTAGGACCTACAAAGCCTATGCCGCCCATGAGATTTTCTGGGCAAGCTTGTTTTTATGTAAGTCTCCCATTTAAATATCTTTAGAATTCGCTTTTGCCTTGAAGCTATAGACAAGTATGTGCTGCTCTCTTCTAAATATGGGAACAGTAAGTACAAATAGAAGATTGAAGATCTGCTTTGAAGCTAAACTCTGTAACTGGGCAGGCTCTGGAAACATCAGAGGCAGCAGCAGCCCCAGTGGTAGAGAGCAAGGGAAAATCTTTCTTCTTTTAATTGCTAATGTACTCATTCTGGGAGGTCTCTTGTCAGATTAAGGGTCAGGGTCTGATTTGGGCTTTCCTGCTAATGGAGATGTTGTGGGAGTGCTAGAATAAGTGCTGTGATATTACTAATAATTAATGACGATAATAATGTTCTGGTTTAATGCCTTTCATCCCCCAAAGACTTCAGATCTCTCCACGATCACCCACTGTTGACCTGGAGCTGACTTAGGCAGAGGATGTGGCCTGAGTGGCAGAGGACACAGCAACTGTAGTCTTATTTAAAACATGAGTGAAAGAAAAATACCCGTTTAAAACTGGTGTAAATTTCTGGGTAGGCAGGCTGTAGTTATCCAACCTGAAACTTTGCCAGGAAACAAGTTTTATTACACCCCTTCTCTTGCAAAAAGCACATAGAGTGCTTTCCTGACCATAAACAGACCTTGGATTTTTATCTGCTCTGCAGCTCAACACCCTCTAACCAAGGAAAGGAATTCATGGAGAGGACAGAGGTGAGTACTGAAGAATCCAGATTTCTGCCTTCCATGGGTACAGGTCGATCCGGACAAGTACTGACACACCCCGGCCTTGAAATGCAGAGATGCCTAAAACAAAATGGTAAGGCTGCTTTCGGAGGAGGGGAACAAGGAAAAAAAAAACAACAAAACACTGTACAAATTAATTACCTCAGGTCACTTTAGTCTAGGACACAGACTCTCCCAATAAGGTATAACACCCTCATCTTAGCAGCATTTTTGTTTGTAACTGTAACAAGATCTTGAGGGGGGAGGGGTTGACAGCAAGACCTAAGGGATTTCCACATCCATACTGAGCGCTATTCAGGGCCTCCTAGGCCCTCATTTGCTTTGACTCTTCAGACCTCCCCCTCCTCTTGCACTTCAGACCTTCTCACTCTCCAAACACAATTTTTTAACTTCTCTCATTTTCCCATCACATCCACAAAAGCTTCATTCATCCTCCTACCCGGACCCAAACCTCCAACCTATCAACTTTTCCCATTTCACCCAGTGCATAGACTACGATGAACTTCTCCACCCACCTGGTCTAAAATAACTATTTCTACACGGCTGGATTTGAAGGCCAGCCCACTTAATTCCTAACCTTGCATCACCAGCTCACTATCCTGTCTCACCTCTGCAAGGAGTTGCTGGAGCTAAATACAGAATTGTGCCGATCTCACCAATTATGCAGAATCAGTTGGTACATACCAGCAAATTTATCAAAAATTGTATGGCAATTTGATGCTTACAGCTGTGGGACCCTGGGCAGCAGTATAGTGGGAAATCTAACTCATATCCAGCTTGGAAATAAATGTCACACCCCATGTAAAATAAATTCATTTTAGGAATATTTTTAATGGAAATAAATTGTAGGGGGCTCTATCTTAATTAGATGGCTAAACATGTTTCTGAACTTAGTAAACTGTAATATATACGCATCATCAAATGCTGACAATCATCTGGGGGAATAAATTAGTTTTAAAGTTCACCTCACATGTACAACTTTGCCCTCTTAAAAATACATTTGTTGAATGTCAGTCTTAGACTTCAACCTTGGGATCGAGGAGCTAATTTCAAATATGGCTTTCTATTTACTACTGGGCAAATCACTTAAGCTCTCTGGGCCTCATTCAGCTCTCTCATGTGAAGTGAGGGGACCTCACCAAATGATCTATGTATGGTCCCTTTCAGCTCTAGAATAAAATTCCTATGATTAGGATAAAGTCACTTTTGAATATTGGTTCCTCCGCTAAAAAATAGAAAGGGCCTTCTTCATGGCAATTCTGTGATGTAAGTAGGACAAGTATTACTATTTTTATTTTGTCTCTTTTAAAAATGATTTCTCATGAATTTGACTTTCAGCAAAAATAAAGCCAACTAAACAGACACTGGTGACTACTTAGATTTTTTTTTTTCGGTAAAACAGTTGGGATGAAGTGACTTGCCCAGAGTCACACAGCTAGTATTATGTGTCTGAGGCCACATCTGAACTCAGGGCCTCCTGACTTCAAAGCCAGTGCTCTATCCACTGCACCACCTAGCTGCCCCGACTACTTAGATTTTTAAAAGTTATAAATATAGTATGCCCTAATAACTTATTGGTTACTTCTGTTTCTCCTTCTGTTTGGTTAATCCATTGATCTCTGTATTTTTTCATCTAGTTTCCTACTTACATAGTTAGTGCCTAATCTTTATTGTATAAGGTTAAAAAAATTTTTTTAAGATATTAGCTAGGAGAAGGTCCTATATGTACAAAAATATTATTAGCCGCTTTTTTTGTGTGGTGACAGAAAAGTGAAAACTAAAGGGATGCCCATCAATTGAAGAATAATTAGGTAAGTTGTGATATATTAATAATAACTAATAATAATAATAACAACAACAACAACACCATTTATACAGTGCTTACTATGTGCCAGGCACTGTGCTAAGCACTTTACAAATATTATCTTATTTGATCTTCACAACCCTAGGAACTAAATGCTATTATTATCTCCATTTTACAATTAAGGAAACTGGGGCAAGCAGAGGTTAAGTGACTTGTCCAAGGTCACCCAATTAGTAAGTATCTGAAGCCATATTTAAACTAAAGTCTTCCTGACCCTAGGCCCAGCTCTCCATCTGCTTTGGTACATACTTGCCTGTGACAAATGTGATAGAGTACTACTGTGTTGTAAGAAATGAGGAGGGGTAGCTAGGTGGTACAGTAGATAGAGCTCTGGCCTTGGAATCAGGAGGACCTGAGTTCAAATCTGACCTCAGACACTTGACACTAGCTGTGTGACCCTGGGCAAGTCACTTAACCCCAACTGCCTCACCAAGGAAAGAAATAAGGGATAAATTATATCCAAAAAGCATGGAAAGCCATATAAATTGATAACGAGTAAAGTGAGTCCAAGAAGAAGAATAATTTACACTATAAAATAACATCAATATTAACAAAAATGAACAATTGTGAAGACTTTTATAATCTAAAAAAGAATAAAGTGAGCAGAATTAAGAGAACAATTTATACAATGACAACAATGCTGTTAAGAACAAACAACCTTGAAAGCGCAAGGACTGTGATCAGTACAATTATTGTTGTTGTTGTTCAGGCATATCCAACTTTTCGTGCCCCCATTTTCGGTTTTCTGGGCAAGGATACTGGAGTGGTTGCCATTTCCTTCCCCAGCTCATTTTACAGATGAGGAAACTGAGGCATATTAGGGTTAAGTGACTTGCCCAGGGCCACACAGCTAGGAAGTGTCTAAGGCTGGATTTGAACTCAGGAAGATGAGTCTTCTTGACTCCAGGCCCAGCACTCTATCCACTGCACCAGCCACCTGCCCTTAATCAATACAATTCCCAGTCATTATTCCAGAGGACCAATGATGAAACATGCTATCCATGACAGAGAGGGGATGACTTAGGGTGCAGAATGAGACATAGATATTTTTGCGTACAGCGACTAACAGAATTTGTTTTGCTTGACTATGCATATTTGTTAAAACAGAATTGTTTTTCTTTTCTTCCTTCCTCACCCTTCCCCACCTCCATGGGATGAAGTGGAAAGGACAAGAAAGAGTAAATAGATTTCTGTTAATTTTTAAATTAAAAATAGTGGAGGGAAGGGGGCAATTGCTACAGATGTAAAATGTTGCGTGCACTTTCAGATGAGGTCACTGTATTCTTATTTTTATCTAATTGCTTTATGGTCTTTGTTGCAGGAGACCCTTCAGAAGTAGTAGCTAGGTGGAGAAGTAGAGAGGACACTGAGCCCGGAATCAGGAAGAGCTGAGTTCAAATCCAGCCTCAGAGACTTACTAGCTGTGTGACCCTAGACAATCACTTTACCGCTGCCTGCCTCAGTTTCCTCATCTATAAAATGGGGGTAGTAATATCCCTACATCCAAAAGTCGCTGTAAAAAGCAAATGAGATAATATTTGTAAAGTGCTTAGCACACAGTAGGCACTTAATAAATATTTGTTTCCCTCCTTTCATGGAATAAGGTTAATTTGTAAGTATTTGTTATATTAAAAATGAAATATATTGATAGAACTTTAAAAAATGAATTTATATTCCTAATATCTATCATTTTAATAGCACTAGAGAGTTCCATTACATTAGTATATAATAGTTTATTCCACCATTAATCTTTAGGTTGTTTCTAGATTTTTGCTATTACACATAATGCTACTATATTTTTTCAATAGCTTTGTTTTTCTTAGGATAATACAGTTACAGTATGTTCCCAATACTGATATTATAGCTCAAAGTGCAAGATAATTTTTCCCAACTTGTTTAATATTGTCATATTGCACTCCAAAAAAAAAAATACCAGTTTGCAATTCTACTAAGAAAGTGTGAGTGTACCAATTTCTCCTCAACTCTACTTCTCAATAAATTGATCTAACCATAGGGTTACTGATCATATAAAGAATACACATTCATTTATCCCCCAAAAGAAATGAGATGTATGGGCCCACCTCACAGTGTGTGTGGGTGGGTGGGGGTGGGGAATACTCCCCACTCTGGTCCAAGGAAATGAGACCATTTAAGTTTGTGGCTGAATCCCAGGCAACCAGGGTAGTCAGGGCAACTGAATGGCTCTGGATGGCCCTCAGATTTTAGAGGGTTTTATGCTAAGACAGACAGAGGGAGGCAGATGTCCCAAAGCTAGCCTCCTTTGAATACTCAGGTCAGATAGCCCTATACACAAAAGTTGGTAGAATTCCTTCGAAGTTAAAAACTTTGTTCACAGATAGTCATCAGTCACTCTATCTGAGTCTCAGCATGTCATTTCTTCTGCAGATTTGCAACAGTATGTATTTATCTTTACCGCTGAGATCCTAGTTTTGTTCTGTAGGATCTAATTTCCCTTTCCTTCTCTCCCTGCCTCCTTCCTTCTTTTCAGATGTACTTAGCCAGTGCCTGGCATGTGAGCTTAATGATTATTTATTGACAGATTGACTTTTGATGTGTACTATATGTATGCTCTGAAGCTGCAATCTCATCTTCCTGTAACCAAAAAGCTGGGTCCCTAGAGCACAGCCAGCTCTATTTCACTCTCAGGGTTCTAGAAGTAGCCCTCAGGAGTTAGTAGGGTTTTTTCTAATGCTTTTGGCTTGATTCGTCATCCTGGTGTGTTTTCCCCATTATCAACAGCCAGAGAGGTTTAGTTTGTACTTCCTTAATATCATGCAATTAGCACCCCAAGATCATTTAATCATTGAACAACCATTAGCTTTTACAAAGGTAGTGTTCTAGGTTAGGCCTGACTCAAGCCAGACCTCTGACAGCTGAGGTTCGATACTGGAACAAAATGAGACATCCATCAGCTATTCAGCATCCAACCAAAAGTGATCCAGTTAGCAACGGCAAAGAGATGGATGTTCAACAACGAGAGGCTTTGAGGACACCTCAAATTGATTAAGCTGAGCAAAGCTGAGTTGACCATTGAGATCCAGCCAAACCTCAGGGATTTTCCCAGGTCCCCATGGCTGCTTTTGTATGTAGGCAATGAGAAAGTAGTGTCAGCCCTCTGAACCCTTAGCCTGCTGGACCAACCACATTCTGGCATGGCCTTCCACGACTGGACCTTTGCTCCATCAATTTTTTGCATCTCACAAGGTCACAGCCATCTCTAATGCTCCTCCACCGAAAAGAAGGAAGGAAGCAGCACCAACAGGCAAAGAACAGAAGCTCCATTTATTCACAATCCACATGTCTACCCAGACTGGGGTGGATGGGGCCACTAAGGCTTCTCTCCTTACCCAGAGGCTTGTACTTTATGTCTTCCCTCAGTGCAGCCAGGAAGCAGAGAAAGATGGCTAGTCCCTTTTGAATGGACACCCAGTTCTGACTCAGCAGCCAGTCTAAAAGTCCAACTCAGAGAATGCTTACATGTGCTATGAAGTGGAGAGCTGGGCCCCTCGATTTCATATAATCAGGCTGTTCCAGAAGCAGACTCACCAAATGTGCATACTCCCAGACTTGAGCCCTCATTAGCCATTTCTACCCTCCTGCCCTCTCCTAATTACAGATGAAATTGCTTTTGCATTTTAAAGTCTAAGAGAGCAAATCTAAATTAACGTACTATTGGAGAACTGAGCCATGTCAATACCAATATTTTTGTGATAAAAAGAACTAAAAAAAAAAAGGAATTTGCAGTAACTAAATGGAAGGATGGATGACAGCTTAGAGATGCTAAGAAAAGAATTAGAAGAATCAGTTTCATTGTGTATTCAAAGACAACAAGAAGTATCATTTTGCCTTTTAGTGTTCATGAAGAGAGTAAGTGGTGAAGAACCATGATAATAAATGCTATTTATATACCAACATCTGTTGCAGAGGAAGAAAAGGTAGAGAAATTCTATAAAGAATTTGACAAGATTCTGGAAGTCAAGTCAGTATATACTTGGATACTCAATGCCTTCAATTAGAAGGTGAGCTCAGGTAAGAATAGTGGAAAGTACACTGGAAAATGTGACTCACGTCTTTAATACAAATGAGGGCTGCAGACTACTCACAGCTTCCTGGCTACATATCATGAATATTTTCTTTCAGACATGAAAACATGGTGAGTATTGAGCATTATCACAAAAAATGCTACTGGTTATACCTTAAGGAACAGGAAAGCTATCTACATTGCAGTCTTCAACTAGTTAGAACAGAGTTCAAAATCAAAATCAAATTCAAAGCAAGAATATAGAGAGACACTCTGAACAAGAAATTGCAATGGCTTTGCCTTGACCTATTGAAATGAGCCTGAGGAAAGGGAAGATGGTGTCCTTGACTGTCATCATTTCTTGCAAACTTCAAGTTCTATAAAACAGTTGTGACAACTAGGAGGCCAAAAAAGTTCAGAAATCTTCTTAGCCCCAAAATACTTGATCTCCATGCCATGTAGAGATATCTGGTTATTAAGAGTAGCCCTAATTTAGAATACAAAATTATTTATAAAACACTGTGGAGGAGAATGGTGCAAGTTTAATGAGCAATATCACCTCATAAAAAAGTCAAAAAGTAATAGAAGTGAAAATAAATGTATAGAAAGCTTAGCATAAGATCCCAACTGAGTGACATCATCCCAAGAACATCTATGATGAAACAGGGAAGAATATAGCAAACAGACCAGAAATTTAACAAATAGGGTCAATAATGATTTTTCATCATCAATGATAATAGAATCACTAGATTTAGATCCCCCAATCTTAGTCCCCATAGAGATGTGTCATACAAGAAGGTTGAAATATTACTTAAGGACCCAAATTTGCAGAGAGTGGCCAGACCAGATACAATATACACCAAGAAAGTATATAGTGAACTTGACACAATCTTCAAAGAACTGAGGGGTCATTGTATACAATATCTCAAAAAGAAGATGTAGAAAAAAGTAGAAAAATTGTAGATCTAAAAAAAGTAATAATAAACAACAAACTCATATATTTCTTATCTTTATAAAATCTTTAAAAAAGATAATACTGGAACTATGATTTCCTCACTGTACAGCATTCCCAATACTCAAGTTCTCTCAATGAAGGCCAGCGCCAGATGCAGCACGTGAACTTGGGTCTTCTCAATGACAAGTCCAACTCTCTACCCATTGCCACAATGCCTCTCAACAAGAGATCTTTATGTGAATAATCCATATTATTGTATATCCATGGTGCAAACTGGAGAAGAGAACAGACAAATTTTTACAAGTGATTTTCTACAGCAGACCTCATTCGTATACAGCTGACAGAAAGGTACAAAGAATACCAGATCTTACTGAATATTTTGCTTTATAATAATTTTTTTTTAATTTTGTAGAGCCAAACCACAGACTTAAAGGCTCTCTTTCAAGAAGGAATTTCTGACATATATGTTAAAATGATACAGGATTTAATCAATCAACAAGAATTTGTTAAGTGGCTGATATACGTCAGGCACTGTGTGAGGTAGGCACGAATATAAAGAAAAAATTCCAACTCATGAGGAGTTTAAATCCTAGTGGGGGAAACAATCAGTATATATGGACAGTATAAATAAAAAATGGTTAAATACAAAGTAATTTGGGAGGTAGGGCCCTCAGAGTTGGGGAGATCAGGAAGATGGTGTTTGAGCTGGGTCCTAAAGTAAGAGGGAGGACTCCATACGATGGCGTTAAGGACTCCCAGGCACTGTGAATGCCTAATGAAAAGGTCCAGAGGTGAGAGATTGTCTTGAGTGAGGAAAAGAGAGGAAGCCAGTTTGGCTGGACCATAGAGAGGAGGTGGAAAGATAGGCTGGGGCCGCGTTCTATACGGCTTTGAAAGCTAAACAGAGGAATTTATATTTTATCCTAGAGGCAATAGAAAGCCACTGGAATTAAATGACTAGGTGAGTTAGATATGTACTCATGGAAAATTCCTTTGGCAGCCATGTGTAGGATGGACTGGAGTGTGGAGAGACCTAAAGCAGAGAGAACATTTAGGAGACTGTTGCAATAATCTAGGCCAAGAGGGAATGATGGCCTGAACTAAGAAAGCACTACCCCTTGACCTCAGCAAGCAGGGCCTTAGGGGCCCCTGTTTTGGAGGAACCTGATCATCATAGGCTCAGAAAAAAAGTTAAGATAAAAATACAAAATAAAACAAAGCAAATAAATTATAAAATGAAAAAAGTTATTAAGATAAAAATGAAATATGCAGGAAAAAAATTACCTGTAAGTGTCAAACTCACATTACCACCTTCCTCCCAGCCATGACTGACAACAAGCCTCAAATCTTACTTTGGCCCAAACTAGATTAAAATGTAACTGGAAAATGTTTAACAAAATAAATAAAAATATAATGCAACAAAGATAATGTTGATTTGTGGTTTTCTAAGTGTGCAAGAATATCTTTCTCTTCGAGTTTAACACAGTTGATTTACACAACCAAGTGAATACTGCCTTATTTGTCTAGGATATACTGTGTAGGATATGGGAATGCATGAATACAACTAAATTAAGCCAGTCAATGGTTCTGGATTATG